TCAGAGAGGTTGCTGGGATTTTGCAGGGATGAAGAGGATATCCCTCTGACATGAAGATGATACCTTTTCTCTGTGAATCTTGTTCAAAATGAAAATCAAGTCTCAGCACACAGGACTATTTGCACTGCTAGCTCAGATCTCTATTTTCTGCCACGTGTCAGCAATGTGGCTGTGGTTCCTGCTGCTGCAGAAGGGCGGGCAGCCATCTACCACCATCTACCACCACAGTCCAAAAGCCAGAAGGCCAAAAAAGGCCTCTGTCATAGCCTTCAAAAACCAAAAGAAAGGAAGTAGCAGGAAAAGGAGAAACAATAACTTGCCAAAATTCTTCTGGTTTAGCATCTTTCTCTGCACTGGTTTACTTACTATGGAAGAAAAAAAAAAAAAAACTCATGCTAAAGAGAAAAAGAGAAGGTAAATCGGCATTCTGCCCAAGAACTTATTTTGGCTTCAAGCTTGACATGAGCAAATTCAGTTTCACCTGTCTCATCAAGCAGCTCCAATATCTCTACACTTGGCCGTGTTGCCAACACTGTAAATCCATGCAAGTCTGAGCATCCATGGGAGTCAGGGCAGAGCGGCTCCAAAGCAGGCTCCGGCACATCAAGGGCACATCAAGCTAATGTTCACATTGACATTATTAAGCTGTTGCAATATTATGATGACTTGGGAATTTGGCAGGTTTTCAGCTCTAATGAAAACAGCATTTTGCCTCTAGTTGCAATTAGAACTGAGCCATCAGCCCATGACATTTGAAGAATTAGCAGTTCACAACCCTCAGAGGACAGCTACAGATTTCACCCCTCTCAAAACATTTATTCATGAAATGCTCTTGGCCAGTTTATTTCTGGGGTAGTAAAAATAAAGCTTCAGTGCTCATCTCCACCTTATACTATTTACTAATTTTCTATTAAACCCTAGGTGTTCTTAAATAGCTAAATGACCATAAAACACAGGATAAAACTCTGTACTATGTGGCACCTTCTGAAGAAAAGCACCTCTCTTCAAATACTCTTTAATGAATGGCTTCAATGCTCATCTCAGCAACTTGTGGATCAAATTCCATTTAACAAACTGTTGCATGGTGAGACT